ACACAAAAAATCGTAATTTACAGTCTATGAGGAATAGTGATCTAAAACTGTGAAACATTTTCTCGAGCCAATGAGAAGACACGAGAGTGAATAGTTCTGGCTAACAAATTGTCCTAGCTGTACGTATGGGTGGGTATCCGAAATTCTTCTATACACAAATATTTTTCTCATTTCTATCATTTTCTTCTTCCTCATTTGTTGTGATTCGTGCTTTCGTTTCACCGCACATTACTTGTGTTACTATTTCTCGCTTTCAGCTCATTGTAAATTGTAAAAGTTCTTTGTAAATTAATTTTTTTTAATTTCGCTCGTTTAATAACTTATTTGCTTTTTGAACCATTGGCTGGCACAGCCGCAGAGTCATCTTTAGGTTGTAGCTATGAGTACAGAAATTACCGTATTTCGAAAAACTAATTATAAGCTAAAAGGTGTAGTTTTTAAGATGTGGCATGATGAGAGATTTAAACTATATTAAACTTTTATACATCAAGTACTTAAAGCACTCTATTTTGAATTCGTTAGGTAACACGTAAGATCGTAAAGTGATTAGCGGTCCCATTAGACTTGCAGCGCTGTAATTGTTCTTTCCGTCGTTGGCGGTTTCTCTACATGTTCATCTGCGATCCTTGTAGATTTAACGGACCTCTCTTTACCTTCCAGAAAAGTAACCTAATTAAGCTAATAGTTCTATGTGATTTGGCATGCTACGATGCCAATTAACCAGATACGCATAATCTCTAGGATCTTGCCTGGGTGGTGTAGAAATAGCTTAAGTAACTACCTAAAATCATCGTCACAGCTACATAGAAAAATTATTCTAAATTGCAAGACATTTTTTTTCATTGTGACGTGTGTGGTTTATCGAAAAAAACAAGAAAATCGTTATTGATATGTTTGAATTTTCTTTGATAAATTTTAGTGTCATTTGTTTTTTTTTGCAACAAAATGAATCAAAAATTAACGAACGAGTGCATTCTTGAAAACAAAAATTTAATTCTCTTTTTTCAAAAATTCAATTTTCAACGTGTGCCTGATTCTCAGTGTTATTTTTTGTAAAACATAGACTCTACCTAGGAAAGTATTCATCGCTATGCTGTTGCTACGTGCTCTCCTTCGCTAATATTCTTACTGAACTCTCTTTGAACAAAGCATTCTTGCTTGAACCAGTAAATGCTATTCAGTAATTGCTCCATTCATTTCCTTAAATTCGGATTGTTTTACTAAATTTTGAAATGTTGTTAACGTGGATCTTTATGTCTGAGCGCATATATATTTCTTTACCGTTCATTTATTGATTGTTGTTTTTACGAAAATTTTATCGAAATTAAATCCTCATAAAATAGATATTATATATATAGAGCACTAGCAATTGCAGGAATAAGTAATGAAGAACTAAAGGAAGATTCTAGCTGATTTTGTTGGAAAAATTGTAAATTACATGCAATTTTCGTGAATTCTTTTTTAATTTATATAAATTAGTATTATTTGATACTCTCTAGCAATACATAAAACAAATAATTGAAGGAATTTATAATTGAGGCGATTTTTGTTGTAATTTATACTCATTTTGTTAGCTTTTCCATCAAAAATACATAATAAAAAATATTACTGCAGCCACAAGACGGCACGCACCAATGTTTTAAATGTTATGTTTTTATTATGTTTTTTCAATATTTTTTGCAATTCAGTAAGAGATATTTGGGTCGGCACAGTGAAAAATGCTAAGCTTTTTTTTGAAATTCCCATGCAAAACCAGTTTTCTTCGCTTGCCAGAATTATAATTGTTTCTATCATTTTTTTTTGTTTTCTTTTTACAAACTTTCCGAACGAAGACTCAATCCTTTCTGACTTCCTCCACAGTTCGAACCAGAAAGAAAAGTTCCCTTAAAAAAAATGGTTTCTTGTCTTCTCAGTTATTTGTGAAAACCCTAAATCGTCTCAATTCCTAAGCACACAAGATAATGGTTCCAAGAAGGAAGTAAATGTAACAAACTAAAACAATAAACAAATGTTTAGTTCAATAGCCGAATTCGTAACCAACACAAACCACTTCATCATATTAGGTGTTTGCGTTAATTTTGGCCAGCGACTTTTACAGGTAAAAATGATAAAGAAATGGGAAATACCCTACCTAAAAAAGTAGTTTTCCACTTAATATTATTGAGTTATTCATCGTATGGCGATGCTAAACCATGGAACTGTCAAAATTGCATGTTCGACCTTAAGTACTTTTGTGCCCTAACTTGAAGAAATCGGGTGCCGAACTCCACCAAACATGTTCAGAAGCTTATGGTGATGGTTCTCTATCGTATCCCAGTTGTCGGTTTTGGTTTCAATGTTTTAAAAGTGGTGAATTTGATGTCAATAATAAAAAAAAGTTCACCGACTATGAATTGCAAGATTTATTGGCCGAAAACTCAGCTCAAAGTCTCGAAAAACTTCCGAACAGTTTAGCAATTGATGACTCAACTGTTTTTAGACGCTTACACGTGGTGGGAGGAAGGAAAACGGCTATCTCGCAAATTGTGTGGATATGACATTTTAACCGTTCCAATATCGTAGCTTCACCGCTTGATAGGCAAAAAAAGAATAGTTTCTGTGGGGTATTGTGACTGACGATGAAAAGTGCATCTGTTGCGACAAGTGCAAGAAGTTATATGTTTGTTCAGGAGAGGCATCCATATCGACAACGACGCGAAATATTCCTGGCCATAACGTTTCGCTTTGCATATAATTGAATCAGCAAGGTGTATTGCATTACGAGCTCCTAAGTCCGACTAGGACATTTATTGCGAATGTGTATTGACGTCAATTGAATAAATTGAACGATGTGTTGCTGCAAAAAAACCCAGCAATAGTGACTATAGTGGCGACTATATGAATTAAATGAAAATACCATTTTGGCCACTTGCTGCAATTGTTGTCATGACAGAGCATTCCTTTTAATTCAAATAAAAACTGAAATCCTAATGTTGGTTAGTGGAAATCCGCTACGACATTAGAAAAACTCGAAATTTCGGTAAAAATCATAATTATTTTGACTGTATTGAAAAGGCAAATAAATATCTACATAAGTTTAACAATTCTTTCTTAAACTTGGGCTTGCAAATAATATACATAGGAACCGCTCAATTTTAAGCCATTTTAGAATTAATCAAGGTCTTCTTCAATTGAGAGAGGTGTGCTTTTAAAATTGTTTAGTATGGCACAACATACTGCTGTAAATTCAATCAGCATTTTAAAAGCAAGGTTTTTTTATTATTGTCTCCGCCCACTTTCCCACTTCTTTTTTTATACCCATGACCGAAACATGAGGAGTGTATTCATTTTGTCAAAACTTTTACAGTGAGCAGAAGGAAGCCTCACGGATTCTACAAAGTATATATATTCTTGATTAGCATCAAATTCTGAATAGAGACAAGGATGTCCGTCTGACCGATTGTGCGTCTGTTTTATCTCTGTTGTAAACATTCTTCTGGCCTTGAAAATCAAGCTGGCGACTTCAGTTGGGAGAAACAATAGAAGTTCTCGCACGCAGGTTGGTTTGAAAGTTATCCAAACAGTTCAAAGAATGCGCCTACAATGCACACACGTCTATACAACCCAAAGACCTTTGCTTCCCGTGTTGTTTGCTCGTTGCCCTTAAAAGACAACACTTACACGATATAAATTTTCATAAAATTATTCTGCAAGAATATCAAATCCCAATCACGCCCACCCAGTGTTATGGAGTACACAAATTTATATTTCTCTTTTTTTCATTCCTTTCAAGATAACGGTGATGAGTAAAACAATTCGGTCGCAACGGAATATAATTTGCTTACTTGTTATATTTGTTTCCTCGTTTTCCTCCGCAGTTTGTATGTTCTATTCCCTTTTATTTGTTTTATTTTCTTTTCCTATTTTATTTTTTTGCCGGCTTTGAGTAGTAAATCTGTAAAGAATTTTAGCTATTTTATGCCTACTATGACACTAGATCTGACTTTCAACAAATCTTCTAGAAGATCTAAATTTGATATTACAAAATCGACCAATACCTTTCTTGAAACACCTCGAAACTTTCTTGACAATTAGCCTATATCGAAAGAACATGTTGAGAATGCTCTTAAGCTACTATATATAGAAAAAAATTGCTGCATGTCGAATACGTATCAAACCCGCGTTAACTTACGCAATAGGCAAAAAGGACCATATTAAGCGCTTTTAAGTTATTTAAAAGAAGAATTTCAGAATTATTCACAATATTCATAAAATATTTCAAACTGTTAAACTTAACAAAGCTTCCAAACTACCTTTCTTTAAACGTTGAATGGGGTCGCATATCTTAACCCCAGTTTCGCCATATCCCACTTTTGAACTGCCAGTGTACAGTTCTTTTATAACTCGTTTTGGGTTCTTAAACTGGAACATTTTAGCCGGATCTTTTGACCTTTGTTAGCTTGAGCGGATGAGATAGCATCTGCTTTACGTTCAGTATCCTAGCATTTATGAAGTGCTTCATTACTTCCAGACGATATTTGAGATTTGGCAATCTGTTTGTGGCCAGGCGGATGTCTCGTTTTGTTGCTATGGGAAGAGGTCTTACGCGCAAGAGGTCATTTCAGGCATTCAAAGGGTAGTATCTCATCGCCCCAGTCGTGCCAATTTTTATATTATCTTAGACCCTTAGACAAGAGCTGCATTGGTTTGATTTGGAGGATTATCATTTTAAGGCTTACAGCCTATATTTTACCATACAAGCACTCATAGGCGAAAAGAGTGTCGGTTGTCATTTCGGTCAGAAGTTTTACATGTGTGCGCTGGACCTTTGTGTTTGCTATTTCGAGAGCCGCGATATCACTTCCGCCGCTTTTGTGTTGATTTATTCATGAACAAAATGTTTTTCAGTGAACTTGGAAGCACACTTATAAAACAAATCAGCCTTTTCCAAAAATATACCTATACTGCCGACATTTAAATGTACATACATATATTAAATACAAAATTGTTTCATTTTTTAGGTCTTTGCGGCTAAACACGCTGACGCGGAATCTCTGCTGATGAATATGAACAACAAATATTATTACTACACAAGAACGAGAGGTCTCTTCAGAGTTTGCTATCCGAAGGAGAGGCCACCAGCCAACGCGGGTAAGCTTACTTATATGGTCCTACGTATTTTGTGGATTTTACGAATTTTTCAATGCAAAAATTTGTGTTCTTAATTGTCAAATTCCATTTAACGAGTTAATGTTAATTGTTACATAGGGCAGGACACAAAATTATGCGTAGATGGTCTAAATTTTGTAGAACTAATTTTTTGGGGTAGAGTGCAAAAAATAGGCCTAGAAGGTTTAAATTTGAAAAATTAAGTTTTTTTATGTTAAACTACTATTATGATATAATTTTCTTCATGAAGGGGGTTCAAAAATTGCCTGTCCAAAGTTTTCATACTAATTTAGAATGCTCAAACACTACTACTTAGTGACTTTTCCTAAGCAATTTTGAAAATTGTAATTTTTTTCTATATAACGACTTTTCAGAATATGGCTTTATATAGAGGTTTGCCGAAAAAAAGAACCGACTCAAACAATTTTCAAGGGTTCTGAGGTTAAAACATGTCACTGTACCAAATTTCATTGAAAGATTGCGAGATGTAGCGTGAACCCAAATACATGGACAGACTTCAGAGGGACAGACGGACAGACAGGTTTAGATTCATTCAAATTATGATTTTGAATAGATCTGTATAATAAAAGGTGGGTCTATTCGAAACCTTTCTCCCTGTTCCATACAACCGCGCTAAGTGAACCACAAGTGGTGACGGGTATAAAGGTAATAATGGAATGAATGAATTATAAAGTATAAATTGAAAACGAAATCTGTAACTATTACTATAAGAAGATCAATAAGTCTTCATATAAGGTTGTCCACAATTTTTCTTGTGGACATGTGAGGCTATTGTAGAACTTTATAGGAGAGAGTGCATCAGATTTTATACTGAGAGTAACAAAGCACTTTACATATAACTACAAATACCTGATTGGAAGACACGTCAGAATAATAATAAACGTAAAAACCTGCTTACAGATTTATAGAAGCCAAATCAAATTTAGTTCAAAGTATTAACAAAGAGATATACCTTCACAAACTTTAAAAATATGTAAGCAATTGAAACAAAACAAGCATAAGCATTATATAGCCGGGCAGGACAGAACATGAAATACCCTCTACCATTTTGTCTAAGGCAATGCCTGATTTGTTCTTGTCATAAAATAATCAAACTCACGCCTCGTTACCATGTAAATGCTTATGTGTCAAAACAGCCCTTATATTGGTGAGGTCCCAAAATGTGACAAAATCTAAATTTGATAAAGTTAATTTTTTTTGTTGGACGCTTATTATTTTTTAAGTATTCTCACCATAAATTGCATAAAATACGTTGCTATCTTCCGAGAAGCTTATACGCGAAAAACCGTCAAAAATATATGATCCGAACCAAAAACAATGTATCGCAAATATATATTCGAAACCAATTTCGAGCATAAAATTGTAGAAATTCTAATTATAAAAGTTTAATTTTTGTAAAAACTTTTATATGACAAAGAGTGCAAAAATGGTGCTATCCTATCTAAGTTTTTCAGATCAAACTACTATGAAACAAAGATCGTGGTTGCAAAATACAACAACGTATTGCAACTTTTCATATATCAGACGCGAAAAAGGTAGACGGACAGGTAAGCTGAAACTATTTTGTAGAATCATTTAGAGTCAATTTTAAGTTCTTCTGGTTGTCATCTACATCCCTATTAATTAATACACTTCTGAGTGCTAATACACACTGAGTGCTAGTTCATTAGTTGGTCATAAATCCGGGAAAAATAAACTAATTTACTGGTGCTGATTAGAAGTTGCTGATTGAAAAATACCTAATAGAAGTTATTGAAAAACAGGCAAATTCCAACCATTAAATATTTTGCATCAATCCTTAATACAGTTTTGTACATAAATTTATGATATTTTTTTAAGTTACATAGGACAGCGCCGAAACTTGAACTGACGTAGTCGACATTTAGCAAACTTAAGTAACTGTAGACGCTATAAAAGGACGCATTTTTTATGTGAATGAGGGATAGGATCGAAAGAAATAGTCGAAAATGTACCCTTCTTTTCTTTTCACAAATGCATTCATTTATTCATAACTTTCGACTTTCAAATTTACTGAATTTCTATACAACGGTTGATGTCCACTTTTCAAGAGATTTTATATGATCTCCAACAGTTGTATAATGAATGCCTAACTCTTCTGCAATTTCTCGACTTGTTAAATGTGGATTATTTTCTAACATGGATCGCAAAACATCATTATCGATCACTTTCATGGAGGCTTAAATCCCCGGAACGAAATTTGCTAAACCATCGTTGACAAGCACGAACATTTACAATATCTTTCCCAAATACCGCACATAAATATTTACATGCAACCGATGCGTTGCTTCATACAAAATGCAGTGTCATAAATGCACTTTATATACTGATATGTTTTTCACTTTAAATATCACAAGTAAATGATGAACTGTAAAAAAAGACTCCTTTTATATTATACACCAGCAAAAAAGACAAAAAAAAAATCCCAGTGACGCACTAGCCACACGTTTGTTTTATTTACAAAAAAAGTTACCTGCATATTTAAAATACAACAGAACTTTCCGTCCAACCTAATATTTGATGAAGATCAACTAAAATGAAAATCCGACCCATTTTCTTTGTTGTGTCACAGCTCAAACAACTTCTAAAACAAGTTATGGTTCTTCCTTAAGTGGTAAGTGTTTCATATTTGGCTTTAAGCTTCGTAGCTGTGATCGATACAAAATACGTAACACGTGTGTTGAAAATCATAGGTGTAATTCTTGCAAACTGAAAAATACATGTCCTTGCAGTAATTCCGTGTTCAAATGTGGTAAATGTTTAGGAGATGATCAACAATATACTCACTGCCTATCAACAAATGATTCGTTAACATATCATCTACACTACAATATTCAATCCTTTTACTTATGTCTCATATAAGCGAAGTTCTGATCTCTAGCTTACTTGAGACTTCCATACAACTTCCCTAAATTCGAAATCTTTATTAAAAACAAGCTGTGTTATGATATTACACACAATATCACCCGCCGAGTGTCTGAGTAAACAAAGAATCACGGCAGATAATTTAATGGTCGTGCGTTCAAATCTCAAGTGCGGTAAAGTTCTCAATAAAGCCGATAGTCTTAGATACTAATGCTTTAAGACTTTAGTGTTAGAATTCATCTCTCTGGTTAAATTAATAATAACAACACAATATGTAGCAACGAAATTTTTTTTATTTCTTTGCAACAATCTAATCGAATTTTCCCCTAGCGTTTTAAATCTCTTATTTAATGAAAAAAGTATTATTGAGAGATATGACATAACGTTCAAACACAATTTAACTTACTAAATTGATGTTCGTTCCTGTTTATAATTAACGTAATAATCGATGAAATTTCTTACCTTTACGTCTCAAAAAGCTACGGGAATCGGATAAATGCATTAAAACTAACAAATATTATTAAATAATCGAGAATGAGTTGATGATGGCGCCCATTTCTTCAATTCCTGCCCATTTCTTCAATTTCCACTTTATTCGTCACTCCGACATATTTGTTAAGATTCAAACTTGGAGGTTATTAGGGACTTTTTGCGTTTCTGTTAGGAATAACAGTAGTAACGTTAATTAGCAACCATTTGACAGCGTGCTCTTTCATTCTCATTATTCGCATGGGTACAGACTCCGCTGATAATTTCTCGATATGATGTCGCATTGTCTCAAACGTTTGCAAAACAGAAGTATTTACAATTCTGGATTTTTTACGTGAAATTGCGCTCTGCTGTACATACAAATATGTACGAACGAAAAAAAAAACAAACTGTGTATATTTACGTAGTAAATAGAGCCGATAGCCTGTGTTGCTGGTGCTCAATGTCTTTTTTTTAGTCTAAGAATTCAATTCATTAGTCTAAAATTAAAATAATAATAATAATAATAATAATACGTAGTAAATATAATTTTTCTTCGTTTCATCCATATACATTGAAAAATTCTGAATTTTGTGTTCATCAAATGCGTCGATAAATTTTAAAGTAGGTTTTCATATTCAGAAATATAATAATTATACATTATAGTATCCGAATAACGTCTGCATACAGTATGAAAAGGTGGGGCTGATGCACAAGAAATGTAATTCAAAAGCAAAAATTTTACTAAATAATTTAGCTTTTTAAATATTTAATTTTTATTAAAAGTGATGAGAAACCAACCTAAATTGTTCCTTTAATGGTCAGTATGACACATTAGTGCTTGCTCTTTCATTCTCATCATTTTTATGGGCGTAGATTCTTTTCATAGTTTCTTGATAGGACGTCGCATTCTCTCAAACGTTTGCAAAGCAGAAGCATTTACAATTCTGTGTTTTTAAGTGAATATGAACTATGATATACATAAAAATGTTTTTGTACGAAAAAATGCCAAACGGAATATATATTCGAGAACAAAGAATTTGCACACCCCTATATTTTCACTCTGAACTTAAATATTTATTACATTAAATTTGGATTGCAAACATACTTTAAATTTAACTGAAATACACACTGTTAACTTTTGAAAAACACATAGTTGACCCTTGACGTTCAAAATCATTACAGCAGCAATAACTCAATACATATACCCAAAATTACTCATCTCAGGTAGCGCTCTTTCTGCGATTTTGAATTGGTATAAATCAGCGAAAATTTCATATAACACAAAAATTATAGCGCAGAGATATCTGCAGAAATTCAACGACGAAATTTGACAAATATACCGGCAATATGAAATGTAAGCAACAGAATGTTACAACAGTAAACATAAATTAGTTATTGCTAAATTCATTTTTAATAAGATTAGCGAGAAAACGAATGTTCGGTTTATTACGAGCGATAATTACGACGAGCGTAAACGACACTTACCGGACTTCCCATTAAGAGCCTTGTTGGACGAAAATTCGGAATTCTTGGCCCGACAGCATACCGTTTTAGAATAAACTAATTGGAAAAATAAAAAACAGGTCAAATTGCATAAGCTACGACTA